TAACCTACTGAATAGCTTAAAACAACCCAATTCTATTAAATCCCCATTTTACTATTCCTATGTAAGTTTGTTCTTTGTTTCTTCCTTTCTTGTTTCTTTTCTCTCCTCATTTTTCTTTCCCTTTTTCATAACTTTTTCTATTTGGTTTCTTTTTTGTTTTTGTGTTTGCAATTCATTTTTTTCCCTTCAATTTTATTTTACTTTTGAAAATTATTATGTAAATTTCAGGTGGGGGTGTGGGTGAACCCATTAAATTTTGCAAAACTTAAGTAAAACGTAAGCATGTACCTTTCTTGGACTCTACTTAGGGGCTTGAAATTGATGTTGTTAGACCTTCCTCAATGTCCACAGCTTAAATTTCTGATCAGAGAGAATACTCCTTTTATTGTGGTGATTTGTTGCAACTGCTTGATAATTATCAAATACTGACAAAATGACCAGTCAAGTGTTGAGTAAAAGACTCCTTCATCCCATTAAGTTTCAAATGTTAGTCTTAAGCAGGTTGAATATTTTTTGTTATTACTCTTCTTTTTTGCTTGTCTTTTTATTTTAATCTTAGTGGCATGTCAAGTCATAGAATAGGTTTGAAGTATCATGATGTTTTCACTAAGTTGTGTTCATATGAACTAAGAAAGGCTCTAGAAATTATGTACAAATAAAGGTGATTAAATTTTATCATTTTTGAATTTGCTATTCGACTGTACTTTAAACTCACCATGCTATGGCTTGTTGGCAGTTGCACTTTGTTTTATCATATTAAACGCTTTCTATTATCTATTATTTGTTTTACTTTTTGTGCTAACTTAAGCCGCTTATTGTTTATTCATTTTTTGTAGATGGATAATAATTATGTCACTAAGAAATGGAGAAAGGACCTCATGGAGGAATTTGTAACCCTCCAACATGTAGTTTCATCCATTAATTATGCATGTGCTATGTATATAGTGATTTTACATACTGCATTCAAGAAGAAAGAAATTAGGTTGCAACTACCTAGATCACCTCATCCCTATGGAAAACAAATTGACTATTTGAATAGATTGGTCAGCGATAGTGACATAAATTGTCATGACCAACTTCGGATAAATAGGCATACTTTTATGCTTTTGGGTTGGTGCAAAGTGTTGGATTGTCTAATTCAAAGTATGTCATCTTAGAGGAGCAAGTAGCAATGTCTTTGAATGTGCTTGCACATCATACTAAGAACAGCAAAATTTAATTTAATTTCAT